CAGCATTGTTTTCTTTAGTGTTTTCTGTCGGAATGATGGTTCAACATTTGAAACTGAAGAAAATAAGACCCTGGTTGTAGCTGGAGTAAAATTAATTCAATAAAATTAATATATATGTAACCGGCCGGAATTCTTACTACTTAGTGTTTGTTTTTTTAGTTATAGTGGATGGTAATGCAGTGGAAGTGCCCTTCAGAGAATATCGAACCAGCACAAACACAAACTTCCATGACCGTGGAATAGCTAGCTCCTGTGATTGGGGTTAATGAGACGCGCTGGTAAAAGATAGCACTTCTATTCCTTCCAACACTACAGACAGAATCAATAATTGTACACAAGCACTAGAGTACTTCTTAGCTGGCTTACAACACTGCAATGGGAAACAAAAGTTGTACATGGTATCAACAAAGTTATTAAAAGATATTAATTGCATCCAAAAAGAACTAATAATGCAGCAGTACTACAGACACCAGAACGAGGAACTCATCTGAAACAATTCCTTCATACATCCTACATCACTTAGTGGCACATACAGGGTAAGACATTAAAAAAATATTACTTGCACCGATGAAAATGCTTTAAGTGCATCCGACAAAATTATAGCAATCCCTGAGGAATAGAAATCCTGATTTAGTCATACTACACTAGAACATGGATCACTCATAGCCTGTCTGGGATGACCCACAAAATACTCTAATCCTAACTGTCCTAGAACCCGAAGGTTGTAACTACTAACCTGCCAAGGGGCAAGCATTGACAAGAAACCGAGAAAATCACTCATGACCCATCAGGCAGGTGGGTGCTCCACTGTTTTTTCATTACTCTTTCTAGGTTTCAGGAGTCATGAGTGTATTTCTCCACCAACACCAGTAACATGCTTCACACATACTGTAAGTTCAGAATGCACCCGTACTTTAAGGTGCTACAGCATTCACCAATTTTTTGAAGAGGAACTCCTATGTTCCACATGCACAATCAACCATGAGGAGTGTTGATCTCACACCTGGACTTGGTTATTCTAATCACATTTCACCACCATCACCCGTAACATGCTTCACACATAAGTTCAGAATGCACCCGTACTTTAAGGTGCTACAGCATTCACCAATTTTTTTAAGAGGAACTCCTACGTCCCACATGTGCAATCAACCATGGGGAGCGTTGATTACACACCTAGACTTGGCTATTATAATCACTTGCACACAATACTGGGGAGATGAATGTGTCTATGTAACCACTAGAACTCCCGGTCGCAGCGCAGACCCTTCATTCACTCAGTCTGCACTCAGTTGGCTGACTCCCAATATTTCATGGACAGGAAGAGAGCGACCGTCGGCCTGCCTAGTTAGGCCGGCTCCGAGTACAACCAGGTGAACCCTGCCCAACTGAGGAGGGTCTACCTTCCCATTAGTAAGATTTTTCACTGACTGACTGAGGAGATGTGTGGGTGGTTCTTGTGGTATTGTATGAACCTAGGTGGGGAGATTCGATGATTCAGATCAACCACAACCAAGCTTCCGGTCAGTCACGGTAGTTTGGTAGGTACGGAGACCCATCTGCTCGCTGGCCGGGTGGGTATCCACCCCGTGAGTCGCCAGCTATGTCTTCCAAACCGCTATCACCACCAACCATCAGCCACCAACCAAGTGGGGCCCGTGACCCTGCAAAAGGAGTACTGTAGTTTGTTGTTTACTGTTAAATTCTTCTCCGCCTATTTAAACACGGCCTGAGAGATCAGGACTTACTGCAACACGGATGAACGAGCAGGAAGGGATGAGGCCACGCGTTGTTTTTCCTTGGCGGAACGCGAGTTAGACGCCTGCTTCGTCAATGACTGTGAGCTAGTGAGGCCCGGGTACGCCTGCATCCCTCAGGCGCCTGGCCCATGACGTCATCTTTCGCAAGATTTCTAATAGTTTCTTTGGGACACTCGTAACATTTAGATTTGGGAACTATCCACAATAACTTTAAATTTTATAATTGTCCCCTAACTTCATGAATCGTGTTTACATTAATTCGATAAGGTACATTTAAATTTCTATAAGCCTAATTCAAAATGCTTCCACCCCCCTGACTGAGGGTGTTGCTTGCAGGTTTTGTTTTGACTTGCCACGAGACGTGGGTGTTTCAGCCTAGCCTACTTATGTTTCCCTGTTTGGCAGATCGGTCATTTTTGTTCTAACGTCTCTAAATATCACATTAAAATTTCTGAATATTACATATAATTTTAAGTACAGTAGTACCCCGATTTCTGGTCAATTGAACCCACAGGGTACATGAAAAATCCGCGTAAATGGAACAACAGAACATATGGGATTAATTCCAACTCCACTTTTTCCGACACAATATCTATGTTGTAGTAAAAATAACATCTAAATTTTATGATGGTATGCTCACACAATTAATATTTAAGAGAAATACAGTCGCCAGGTTAATGTCCATTCAAATAATAGACTCAAATCCCCCCCCCTCTTCCCAGCTCACTGGCCCCTACCTCTCTGAGAAATGATTGGGTGAAACACTAGATTTTAACGTTTAGTAATAAATAATACCTCAGACTAAAGTTAGGATAATATAATTGACATTTCTGGATTCCTTGCAGGTCAGGGAATATTTTGAATGTAAACTTCATATATTTTGCACAAAAGATAAAATACTTGCTTTGTGTAAACCAAATTATTACATAAGATCTAAAATTTGTATGTCTAATGCAAAATCCATGATGTTTATATTCAAAATGATCATCATATTGTAAGAATTCCAGCAATGTAAACTATATTCTGGCTGGGTAATTTGTATGAATTTTATGAGCTAAATAAAAAAAAAAAATTATACTTCATGCGTATATGGGTAGATGAACAGCGGAAAGTGAAAGTTCGGTTCTGGCGAGGCACGGTGTATATGAGAAATCGCGTAAAGTGAAACCGCGTAAAGCGGGGTAATACTGTAATGTTATTTAATGTTAATAAATGGTACAGTAAAAGTAGCTTACCATTAATGGTAAAGAAAAAAGTAAGACTGCTACGCCATCATATGTAAGTGTGTACATGTGAAAACACATCATCATTACTCTTCATAAGAATATGAAAACAAAGCTTGTTTATTGTTCATATTTGTTTTAAATAATATTTACGAATGTAAAACAAAAATTCTACTCACCTTTGGCAGTAAATCTAAAACATAAGGACAGCCAATGATGTGCGAGTTTTTACTCAGATGATGAAGTCATCAGGCTCAACTTTGGCTGAAGCTGTAGCTTTCCATAAAGATATCATGACTTGCTGAAACTGTTACTGAACTTGAAGTTGTTGCTGAAGCTTCTTATGATGCTGAATTTGATAGTGTAGCTGAAGTTGATGGTTTAGGCCTTCAAATAATAATGCTGTCTAAAGAACCTTGCACAGCTGCTTTCTTTTCTCATTATACATCTTTATGTAGAGGTCATTTGCATTTTTCATGTCCTTGTTAATTTCAATGCTTTGTTCTGTTAGTGGATCCATTTCAAAAAATATGTTCATTGCTTGCTCCATATAATATCACACAGACATTTCACCTTTTTCATATCGTTTTAACACATCTAGTTTCTTGGCTAAGCTTAGATACTCTCCTTTAGCTTTTGAATCAGCACTACCATCACTTGCTCTCTTGCTCATGCTGAATAGGGATGCAAAAATGATGTAAGAAACCTGAGAAAGTTTTTCTCCTTTTATTGTTCTCATGCGTGAAAACAAGGGCCCGCCAACTGCGGCTGTTTATGCAAGTGATGTTGGCATCACCATTCACAAGCCCAGCAGCCTCCATGCACAAGGCGTGTTTTTTTGTTATTGCTTTTTTATAATGCATATGGGGATTTAGTTATTATTTATGTGAAAATGTATTTATTTGTTTTTTATTCTATTTTTGTCATAAATATGAAGAAAATAATGGCGTGAATTGAATTGGGACCTAAATTAACCAGGGTCTTAAATATGAATTGTCGTTAGTAGAACCGTCGTTATCGGAGGCTTTCCTGTATTCTTGTAAAGAGATGGAGATTTTACTTAATTAGAACTACCCTTATTGACTCGGGGAATTTAGACTCTTGGAAAACATTCCCCAGCACCCAGAAGCAGTCTGAGGATATGGGACTAGTGTCTGTTTGTACAAGAGACATTCTTTTGACTCTCAGAAACTTTTCCCAGTACAGTGGGGTATGCTATAACGAACGGATCCTACTACGAATATTCCTATAACGAACGGTTTTGCCTATAAAATTGAGAATGCAATAATGAACGAAACCCCTACAACGAACATTATTTAAATTTTTTTTTTTTTTTTTTATACTAATTTATTGTTTTTTATTACAAGTATTAATGATATTCTTTATTTCAGGGGTTTAGATGCATATTTATGCACTTTTTTAAAATTTTTACAATTTTATATTATATTTTTCAGTGTTAAGTGGTTGTATTTGAGGGCCTGGAACGGATTAATCCTATAACGAACAAATGCTATAACGAACAAGGTTCTAGAACCAATTAGATTCGTTATAGCATACCCCACTGTAACTGGAAAAAATTCCGGGGATAAAGTATTTTCCCAGGCTTGAGAAAGTCATCTGGTTATTCGGAAATCTCTCATCCCCAGAAGTGCTCTGCACCAAATGTTCTGGCTAACACTGTTTTAAGTTCATGGAAACTGAAAAATGTACTTAGTTGAGGAGAAATTATAAAGAAATTGTATGACGTAACCTTATGTATTATGCTATAGTTTGTTCTGAACAAATTCCTGAAGCTTGTGTTCAGGTCTTCATCAATTTTTATAGCACTAATTGTCATTAAAATGAATGACCTAGTGGCTATACTATACTAAGTCGGGCTGTGTAATTTGCCTTTTTTCCTGCTTATTGTTTGTCCAGTTTTCTCTTGAAAACTCAATCATCTACTGAGCATAAATGTGGAACAGCAGTCATAATGAATTTTTCCCATGAGTCACTAATGCTGAGTGTTGAGTACTTACAGATGGTGTTGGCCATGTGGGAATTACGGCGACAGAAAGCTGGATGGCCCTACTTATACTTCAGCCGTGTAATAACAGTTGAAACTTTCCTGCTGGTAGCAAGAGTGGTGAGTATTTAATAATATTTGAATGTTGATAGTATTCTTTATTGTTTAAGTTGCTTCTCCAGATTTAGTGCTGCCACTTACTGTGTAAATATACCACCTAGGGATATGGCACTAAAAGTTTGAATTGATATTTGTTACATTTTGAATAAAAAAATTTATTGTTTTGTCAGATGGCATCTCAGTTGAGGAAAAAAAAGCTGTATAACAGATATCCATAATAATACAACTTTATTTTAACTTTCAGACTCTAGGAGTTTATGCCATCATATTCTTATGGAACTCTTCCTTGATTGATGGTTTACGAAACACAAGTGATGGCTATGATTGGTGGGAGTCCCCGCACGTACGCGTGCCAGGATACTTTGTCTATCCTTGTGTTATTGCAGCAGCATATGGTGTGATTGTCAGTATTGAAGGAACTCTCTCCCATTTCTCTGGTGAAGTACACAACAAGTTGGTGAGTAGAATACAGACAGCCCCCTGCTTACAAACATAATGGAATTGGTTCCGGAGGTCTGTTCATAAGTCCAAATTCACCTCTATTGCTTGCAAACAATGTGTTAAATATGAAAAATACCTTAAATATTGTACAGCACACCCACAGCACAGTGCTCCATCCTACAATGTTGATTTTGGTCCTCCAAACACAAAAGTTTTTTATCTCATCATTTAATTTTCTTCTTTTCTTACTTATGATGGTCGATTGCAAAGCTACAGAATGCTTTTTTGCTCCTTAAGTCTTTTATTGTCCTTTAAACTCGTACCAACAATCGAATAATTCAGTTCGAAAGCACCTCTTTCCACTTGCTTTATTATCGCCACTTTTGTTGCCGTTGTAATCATGTGTAATTTCTTAGGCATGAACTCATCACTGGCATTATTACCTTTATATTTCTCAGACATATTGGGTTTAATAATATTTGTTTAAAGCCACAAGAAATGAACTTTTGCCACCGTAATGCTGTGAATGAGACAACAACAACAACTTAAATGGCTGCCGCTTGGCCAGGAATGCTGGAAATAGCGCACTAATGCTATCTATTGAATGTCAGTGGAACTGACAACTTTTGCGCTTTTGCATTGAACAGAAATATGGACATACGGACAGGTTTGTTCATATGTACAGGTGTGAAAGTTATTAAGTTGAACGTTCGTAAGTAGAGGAGATATTGTATATACTTATCCCCCCATATTCGCGAATTCACAATTCATGACAAATCCCAAGAATTGTGAATTCGCGAGTACTGAATTTAATACCTTATGGAAAAAATGGGGTTTGGTACCATGGCTACCAAAATTATCATATTTGTCTTAATATTTTGGGTTAGAAATGATAAATGTTTCAGAGATGGTGTTGATGGATTGAATTTTTGTAATAAAAAATAATAAATTTTAATAAATAATTCTTTCTTTTTTACATAAAATTCAAGTCTGAGTATATAAATAAACACTTAACTTATATCACTCAGGATATTATAGTCTACCCTAGTAAAACCGTTTTCTCTAACACAGCAATTGTGTAAAAATTCCAATACTCTAATGTGGCTTAGAAATACAGGTTGTACCTCTCTAGTCCGGCAACCTCGGGACCTGACCGATGCCGGACCATGGAAATTCACCCTTTTCCTGGATAGATAGTGACTTGTGCTTATGCCTGGAAGCACTAGCACCACTTTCTCTGCGTCATGGTCTCTTTGAAGACATATTGAAGGGTTAAATGTCGTATAGTAGCTTCTCAAATTTCGCGAGTTTTTAATTCTTAACGTATTTTATTGGAACACACAAAAAAATAAATAAATAAAAATTTTGACGGCGGAAACTTGAATTTCGACGGGCTTGAACGGCCCGCCAACGTGCAGACGACGTGCATAATCGTGTAAACAGCGTCATTTCTCTTATGTACAAAAGATTCATTATTGTTTATTACTGAATGTCTTTTTTATTGAATTAATGTTTATGTGTGTAAAATGAGCAATACAATTCATTAATAATACGTAGAATATTAAAACACGAGGAAATGACACAGCATTGTTTTCATTGATTACAAAACCAGTGACTGACTGGTTCTACATATAAAACTGAAGAAAATAAGACCTTTGTTGTAGCTGTAGTAAAATTAATATGGTTGTTTTAAGTAATGTTATTTAATGTTAATAAATGGAACAATAGAAGTAGCTAACGATAATGGTAAAGAAAAAGAGAGATCGCATATGTAAGTGCGCATGCGCACACGTGAAAACATATCATCATTACTTTACATAAGAATATGAAAGCAACACTTATTTACTGTTCATATATATTTTAATTAATGTTTCTGAATTTGTTTTTTTTTTTAATTAATGTACGTGTGTGCAAAATTAACAATACAATTTATTAATAATACGTGGAATATTAGAGGAGACTAGACGGCTGCCGGCATTGTTTATGTTAAAGCTTACGAAACCAGTGACTGATTGGTCCTACATATAAAACTGAAGAAAATAAGACCCTGAGTTTAGCTGTAGTAAAATTAATGTAAAAAATGAATATGGTTGCTTGAAGTACCTGTAATGTTATTTAATGTTAATAAATGGAACAATATAAGTAGCTAACCATCAATGGTAAAAAAAAAGTGAGACTGCTCGTATGTAAGTGCGCACATGTGAAAATATATCGTCATTACTCTACATAAGAATATGAAAGCAACACTTATTTACTGCTCATATATATTGAAGGGTTAAATGTTGTACTCTGTATAGACAAGCAGAGAGAGAGAGAGAGCAGCCGAACTGCCGGATGTAAACAAACCTTAATTTCCCGCAGTTTTTTTTTTTTTAAGGGGATTAGCCCACCCGGGCATAGGTCACTGACCCACATTGGGGCCTGAGGGGCAAAAATTTAATACTCCTGTAATAATAATAATAATTCAGATAAAAAAAAAACCCTCCCTATCTACCTATTGGACAAACTAAAATCGTTCCGGACCACGGGAGTTTCCGGACCACGGAATGCCGGACTAGAGAGGTACAACCTGTATAGACATAATATAAAATGACAGTATAAAATAAGAAAAATTAAGTGCATGGGTGTGTATATGTGGAAAGTGAAAATATGCGTGTAGGCAATTAGCACGGAGCTGTAACTGTATCTCAACTCGCCAGACAGACAAATTTATTTGACTCAGATTTTTACAAAGAATGAAGCACAGCTTCTTAATACAACAATCACATATAAATAACAATTTACAATAGATGCATTTTTCAAAAATGGTTATAATTATTTGAGTGATTTCTTATATTTGTTGGTATGAACTACAGTACAGTATTCCCTTAAAGCTCGCGAGGGTTAGGTAAAATGGACCTCGCAAGAAAGCAAAATTCGCAAGTTTTTCATGACGGTTCCCAAATTGTGCAAAATACAGTACATATGGTATAAAGAGCTATGTGTACACATATCCCTTAAACTACAGTATAGGCATTTAAACAACTCAGCCCTCGCCCCTCCATGGATTGCACTATGGGTTGAATGGAGTGCAAAGTAGATTGCGTACTGCATCTGACAGCTTCCACTATTCTGACTGCAAGGAGTCTCTACAGTCTTTACCTTAGGGAGGGAGGGAGGGAGAGGGTAATGCATGGTGCCATTGTTACATGTAGTGAAATTATGAAAGTTGTGTAAAAATTATTTCAAAATGCTAATGTGACAGAAATATAGAAAATATAATTTAATATACTGTATGTGGAAAAGATTCCTTATTATGAGCTCCTCAACAGCTGATACAGGTTGTACCTCTCTAGTCCGGCAACCTCGGGACCTGACCGGTGCCGGACCATGGAAATTGCCGGACCATGGAAATTCACCCTTTTCCTGGATAGATAGTGACTTGTGCTTATGCTTGGAAGCACTAGCACCACTTTCTCTGCATCATGGTCTCTTTGAAGACATATTGAAGGGTTAAATGTCGTATAGTAGCTTCTCAAATTTCGCGAGTTTTTAATTTTTAATGTATTTTATTGGAACACACAAAAAAATAAATAAATAAAAATTTTGACGGCGGAAACTTGAATTTCGACGGGTTTGAACGGCCCGCCAACGTGCAGATGACGTGCATAATCGTGTAAACCTCGTCATTTCTCTTATGTACAAAAGATTCATTATTGTTTATTACTGAATGTCTTTTTTATTGAATTAATGTTTGTGTGCAAAATGAGCAATACAATTCATTAATAATACGTAGAATATTAAAACACACGAGGAAATGACACAGCATTGTTTTCGTTGATTACAAAGCCAGTGACTGACTGGTTCTACTTATAAAACTGAAGAAAATAAGACCTTGGTTGTAGCTGTAGTAAAATTAATATGGTTGTTTTAAGTACAGTGACCCCTCGTTTAACGAACACCTCGGTTAACGTAATTTCGATTAACGAACTGCCTTCCATAAGGATCTTCAATTCGGTTAACGAAGTTCTTACGAACCGACCTCAACATGTTTTCGCTTGCACTGACCGGGCAACCAGCTTTAGTATTAGTCCGCCAATACATTAATCGGTTCTAGGGCTTAAATTCCTTACTATTTTAGTAAATATCAAGAAGTTTATACTATTCAATAATTTTAAAAGTTTAATATTCAATTTTTTTGTCATTTTAATAATTATTGAACATAATTGAAGGTAAAGTGACTAGTTTAATGCGCGGCATCCAGCCTCTTAACACAGCAAACAGGAGTTAGTCTCTCTCTGTTTTCACTGGAGCTAACATCTTGCTTGAGACTCTCTTCAACTAAACGCTTTTTTCTGTGTTTCCAAGCAAATTATTGGTCATTTTCAAATATATTTTACATATTGACAATATATAATGCAGTGCAGTGTTGATTTAAAGAAAATAATCTTGAATTACACCAGAGAGCTAAAATTTTATGGGTGAAATGGCGCCATGGGGTGACTTCTCTTCCATCCCAATGCCTTCTCTTCTTCCTTCTCCTCCACCCCCATTCTAAATCCCATCATCATCATCCAGGAGCCTTCTACATACACACCTCAAAGTAAGTGAACTTTTCTACCATTTTTGTTGAATTTAGGAAATTTTCGGTGAGCTGGAACCAATTACCCAAAAACCCATTGAAACAATGGTTTCGGTTAACGAACTTTTCGGTTAACGAACGATCTTCTAGAACGGATTGAGTTCGTTACCGAGGGGTCACTGTAATGTTATTTAATGTTAATAAATGGAACAATAGAAGTAGCTAACGATAATGGTAAAGAAAAAAGAGAGATCGCTTATGTAAGTGCGCATGCGCACACGTGAAAACATATCGTCATTACTTTACATAAGAATATGAAAGCAACACTTATTTACTGTTCATATATATTTTAATTAATGTTTTTGAATTTGTTTTTATTGAATTAATGTATGTGTGTGCAAAATTAACAATACAATTTATTAATAGTACGTGGAATATTAGAGGAGACGAGACGG